AGCACCAACAGAGCTCAGAGCAGCAAGGACTTCTCCAGGATTTAGTCCATTTCCTATTTCTTCGTCTTCCCCATTTTTATACACGTTTTAAGTATTTGCCTTTTCTTATTTAAACTGCTTAGTTGGAACTGTGAACAGTGGTTGTAAGATACTAACATATTCACACCTCATGATCTGGAGCACCAGTTGGTTGTCTATAGGGGACGACAGGAATTTAGCCCAGTGCAAAGCACTACGTATTTTAAATGGTATTTTGTTTGCCTACAATACAAATTCTCTCAATTCTAGGCTTTCAGGTACCCAGCCATCGCTTGGAGGCCAAATACCAAGATAGACTGGTCCTTGTTCTGGCCAGGCAGGTCTTACATTTTTAGCCTGGATCACCTGGTAGCATTTCGAATATCCAAAGCATTGTGTTTTACAGGGAATGACCTCTGTCTCACATAAAATTAAGCTACCTCAAAAAAAAAAAAAAAAAAGGGAGAAATGAAAACACAGCCTCTATTTTACTGCACTTCCATTGGCAAAACTTACAGAGGTTTTGAGTGCTTTCACTTCTGGAGCCAGAAAGAGGTGTTTTGAAGTACCAAAGGACATTTCTGAACCTGTCTGTAAATCTCTGAGGTTCACACTCCTCTTAAAGGACAGGTAAGGAGAACAAAATGGCAGAAAGGTAGAATGAGTGAATGCTGTACAATCCTGCACTTAGGTAAGCATAAGGAAGTAGTAGCTCATGTCCTTTACTCGTTTTGGCCTGTTCTCAAAAAGCAGGTATTTTAAGCCATTTACAAATTTCCCTTTTGAAAAATGCAGTTAGCTGAAAGCTCACCCTGTGTTTCTGCCTGGCCCGTACCAGCAGGACAAATAAACAGTGTAACCAGTCAAACAGTTAAGGCTTCAACCGCCTCTAACCCAGAGCTGCACCCATCACGGCCTGAAGTTTATGGGAATGCCGAGTCCTGCTTTTATCTTATGTAATGTAACCTTTACAGAATAACTAAGGAAGATGCTTTCATTTTACAGAGCTTCTATGGGTAACTATAATAAATCTACCCAGCTTCTACGGATAACTATAATAAATCGATACAGCTTCTATGGATAACTGAAGATATCACTGCCCAGACTATTTTATTTCAAGATTATTCCAGAATGTCCCTTGTCACCTGTGAAGAAAAGCTCTTTGGTGCTGGTACACAATCTCCTGAAGGGAAAATTAATGTAAACAGATAGAGAAAATACCTCTGGTGGTCTGTAGCCAGCTAATACTTTCAAGCTTTGGGAGAGGTAGGGATTTTCACTGCCTGATAACTGTTTTCTGGAAACTATTAAGATACCTCTTTCTAATCTCTTGCCCATAGTTCTTTATTTGGTTGTAACGAAAATAACAAAAGCAAGGAGAACTGGAAGTGGCAACAGCATTTTGTCAGGCTGCTCATGACAGCAAACACTGTTTTACATTCTTACCAAGATTCACCACTTCACTGCTTCCTTTTGAGCATGTAACTGAATGCGTATTGCATTGGATACTCAGAAATGTTACTGCAAGACTTTTCGACAGTATCTACCCAGGATCTTCAGAAAAAGACATCAAAGTAGTCAGAGGGCAAATAGCTCTCTGAAGGTGAACAGCAATGGTATTACACCTTCAATAAACCCAGCTGAGAGGTCATGAAAGACAAACATACTCCAAGTTAAGTACGGTATTTAAAATCTACATGAACATCTGTTTTCCAGGCAAAACAATGGGCTGGCAGTCCCCAAGACTGTTAAATAATTAGCATTGAGCAATAACTGATCTTTTTTGTACAAAGTTTATTAAGATGTCCAGAAGAATAAATCTGAAAAACACATGTAGGAAATGGCAATTTTAATGATACAGTACAAGGCAACTCAAAACACCTAGAGCATTTATATAGTTGACAAATAAAACTACAGTAATTATTACCATCCCTGAGCAACAGTGCATTTAAATATCATAATAAATGAAGTTACTCAAATGTACCTCTGTATGCAGACATAAAATTGTTAAAATTTGTTAAAAGATGAAGACCTGAAGATAAGCAACTTGCCCTTTAAAGATGTGAAGTGCAACTGGTTTTGGAAAACTTAAATATTACATTTAAACAAACCAAGCTGTTAACTTTACAAGCTACTTAACTGTAGTGCTAAATGTATTTTATTTTCGTTTGTTTGATCCTTTGTATTGCATACCAACAGCAAGTTTTTTCCTTAATGAAACTGTAGCAGCTTAAGACAACGTCAATCTTTTTCACTATTAAACATGTCACGTATTGTGTATTCAGCAATGGTGTGAATTCGGGAGTCAGAATGAAGAACAAAGTCTCCTCTAACAGTCCAGACTTCAAGCAACAGTCACAAGGAGAAAATTTTAACAAGTTTCAATACCCAGCTTCTACATTCTCCTAGCTTCCCAAAGGTCTGGGTGTCAAAGTATTTAACACAAGGATCTATCTAAAATGGTCTAGCAACTAAATGGTCCACAGGTTTCCAGATACTTATGTATCTCAGCCAAGTGAACAGACAGACAAAGTAATTTTATCTTCCCAACTGCGTGTGAGTAATGGCATTTAAGTTAATATCAGCCTCTTTATTGCTGAGGAAGAAAAATGGCAACTTCATTAACAGGCACTGCTGAGAATGGAAAGTTAATTTACAGAAGAATAACATCCTGAATACTGAAAAATAGTGCATACATCAAAATAACTTAGTTTGTGCTCTTAATTTCTTGTATAGGGTTAATATTGTTCATATTATTGTTATTCATAGCTTGATCATCTATCTTTGGCTGTGGACAAACTATATCAGCACAAGTAGAATTTATTTATTTCACTGATGGCACTGCCAAATTCACAAAGCTGTAATCATCAACCAGCTTTCTAGGCCCTTACCCTGATCTGTATCTTTGTTCAAACACTAGCAGATCTGAAGTCAAGAGATTAGGTAATAAAATATTTCCTAAACGGTTACAGACATAACATTAGAAATTTAATAGATCAAGAAATATCTCCTGCATGATCTATGAGTAAGTTTACAAGTACAACCATGGATTCCAGATAACAAGAGTTTAGCTGTCAATTCAAATGGAAAGAATGCAGTATTAAAAACTGGCAATACTTTAATTAAGTATCAATTACCTTCAGACCAACCAACCAATCTGCTTTGAGCAAGAAATTGGATTAGACATTGGACCTCTGAAGTCCCCAAATAGGATTTACGACTGTGTAACTGACTTATTACCCATCTGCTTAATATTGAAATATTAATAAAAGCTTTACAAAGCAGTGATGAAATGCTGCACATTATTAAAAGAAGTAAAACCTCTGTATCTTTCAATTATTCACTGATCAGTTGCTTTTTCCTAGCCACTGGCTGACTTATGCTTATGTCCATTTAATTTACAAATCAGGTAGTATAACAATTATGGTATCAGTTAGAGCAAACAAGCAGTATTAGAAATAATAAAAGTACTGGAATGTAACAAAAGTGACATCCACTTTGTAGGATAACAGTTACTTGAGTCCTTCACATGAAGCTGAAAGAAAAGAAAAGCAAATCCAACTTTAACACAAACACTTTTATACACTCCACAAGCTGTATCTTGTACTAATTCGATATTGATTAGTTAATGATTTTGCATCACCAGGTAATAATTTGGCCCTAATTATTAGGCCAATAATCATTTAGCCTAATACAGAATTTAAAAAATCCTGTATAGCAGAATTCACTTGACTGTTCATATAGAGAACCAGAATGTTTTCATACGGTTCAGCTGTTCAGGATATCTATGATTCACTTGTACCTCTTAGTTTCTAAGTACAAATTAATGCAGAATGGTTATTTTAGTCTCTTAGTATAATCAGCTCTAACACACTGAAATGGGTCCTTTCCCCACATCCTTCCAGTGCTCAGACATACCATAGCTCATGACAGAATGAACAAACACAATCTGAAGAAGTCATTACTCAGTGTGATTGAAGCTCCCATAATAGATTAAAAAGGGTCTGAAGTCAGTATTGTATTTTTCAGAAGTCTATAGGTGTTATCAGAGTATGACCTAGGTTAATTACCTCCTTAAAAAGTCAAGTTTCTTGATATCTAGAAATTAGGGGGAAAAAATGCACCACTAGTTTCATTTTGTTTTACAAATAAAAGCTGTTTTGCTGTCCCAGCCACTGAATATTTTTTGCCAACACCACTGGCACTACAAGAGGCTACACTCAAAATCCAGTGCTGTCCCATTCTTCTTGCTGAACTCATGAAAATGCTGGAGGACTTCCTTAGTGGAGAGGATTTGTGGTGGTAAGCAAAACCAAACAGGCTTCTACACATTCCCTTAGGAAGGATTACAGCAAACAAGACCTGCTGAGGCCATCACTTCACTGGATGATGTAGACACTTCTCATACAGGGGACATTGCTTATCCTATTTACTGAGCAGTCCTTGATGTCTTCCAAGCTTTTTCAATTTCACAGAATTCACTTGTTGTTTTCCCAACAAAAGATGTGAGAACCCCCTTTCAATGTGGCAGTTATTGACAATGAATTTTTCAAGTCAACAAAATGTCTGGTTTTGCCTTTAAAAGCTTGTTTTTTAGGGAACTTCTGATATCTCGCAGTTTTCCAGATAGCAGGTTGATCTGGACTGTTGGTCACAGAAAATGAAAACAGCATACTTAAAGACAAATAATTTAAAAAGAAAAAGAAAATAGAGAATACAGTTGCATACGGATGTTAAAAGCTTCTCCCGTTCACTATCGGCTCAAGCAACTTCCCGAAGAAGTTTTCCCAGTCTGGGTAAAAGCTGCAGGTATCTGGCCTGTACTCTCCAAAGTCATCCATTCTCACTAATCACTTCTTTTCACTGTCTGGAATGGAATTGTAGAGAAGAGAAAAAGGATATTCTTCCCCTTAGGATACTTGTACATTCTCCCATTACTCTATATGCCATAAAATGTCAATATTCTAAAAGTGTACACAAAACATAGAGGAGGAATCCTTAAATGGTCTTACAGTCCTTAAACGTCTAACAAACAGTTCATGCAACAAGATAAATATTTTTATGTGCTCAAACAATTCAATTATTTACCTGAATAATTTATCCCAGGAGTGACACAAGCATCACAACACCCATAAACTGAATGAAGAGCACCAAAGGTGTCATAAATGACCAGACAGGCCACAAGGCAACGTTGAAACTGGGAACAAAAGCAGGAAGTTTTTGCTAAGTTCAATTGTCATACTATGGAAATACCAGCTGCACAAAGAAAACAGGGAGATGAGATTTAAATTACTGAACCTGGAGAAATACTTGTTTCTTTATGACTGGAGAGAAAACAAAACAAAAGATGTCAGCACCTCCTTATTAAATTGATAGTTTTGTTTACTGTTTATTTACTGACAACTCATCCTAGAAGTTCAGTAGCTGCTGTTACTGATTTTACGCTGAGCAAGTCCACTCAGTCCCATCAAGGGTAAAGATATCTTTTACTTTCAGAATCTCTGTATATGAAGCACCTGAACATTAACTACTTTTGATTTTTCCATGGGCATACATGGCAACTGAGAGAAATCTTAATTTGTACTTCTACCCTGGCAGATTTGAGTTAATTGAAGAAAATGGGAGAAAACCTACTTATTTTACTGAATTACAGGAATTACAGATTTGACTAATTCTAAACTCTAGGGAACCTTTATCTTCTTCAGTCTTCCCTTTTTTCCCAGAATTGCAACAAATACTGACATTATTCAGATAAAGAGAGAACCAGCTTTCATGCAGAGATCAAATAAATATATGTACACATGTATGTATTTTTTTCATTCACATGCCCATGGGCTCAATTCTGACTCCTGCTATCTCATAAAGTAGCACTTACTAAAAGTACCATTCTCTGACAAGATAAAACCCCTTAAAGCTCATATAAGAATAGTCAGAAGTATAAATGTCAGCGTTTGCTATTTATAGATTGTTTGGTAATTAAGAACTCTGTATTAGAAATTAATCAGGCATAACTTTTTTCTCAGCTACAGAATACACCTTTGTCTTAATTTATAAACCTCACAGTTGTCAGAGGTGAGCAATTTACACTAACACAGCTAAGGACTCAGTGTTCTCATAAATTTTCAAGATAGAAAAGATCTGGCACATCTACAAGTACACTTAACATACAGTTTTGAGTTAAAACTCTTGCTTTGTGGATGAATGTTGAAAGTAGAAAAAATTACGCTATGCAGAACTGGTATTGTCACCGATACACTTAGTAGAATTAGAGAAATTATACTTTTTACAAACTGAACCCATTAACACAGTTAGGTTTGCACAGGTTTAGCAGACGTTTGTACACAGTGTTTGAACTTACCAAATTGCTGCTGCAATAAAGGTAGCTGTTGTGATAGGTATCAGCGCTGGATACCGCGCATCGTAGTCCTCGATTCCACAATACCACTCCAGGTACAGTATGCAGTAAAAGGCAACAGCTAAACATGCAGCCAATAAACAACTGCCAGAGGCAAACCACCAACTGTGGGGAGAAAGCATGTTAAGCACAGTCATGCTGCAGTTTGCACATTTATCTTCATTCTAGGCTAGAGACAGAACAGACAATACCTGTTAATTATACTGATCGGCCTAGAGGCCGGGTTGGTTTTTTTCTTACATTACTTTTACAAAACACTTTTCTAAAGCTGTCTAATATACATAACTACTTGAGTTTAATTTTGCAATGTATCATTCCTGTCATTTCTTTTTCCGGCAAAAATTTTGAAAATGCAATGCAACAGATCTTGTCAGTGATGTTCTACACTACCCCACCAACAATACTTTGTCAGTAATGAAATAAAACAGGCTCCACTGCAACTGTGCTTCTCACTGTAAATTAGACTGATTTTTGTGCAACAGAAATGTTGTAGAAAGCTTGAGTAAGGTTTCAAGTTTATGAACTCTCAAATTTAACAGACAAGAAGCATGAAGATTTTTCTTCATAGCAGCTGAAGAAAAACATAGAGAAATCCAGCATTTCAAACTCAGAATGAAGAAAACACAGGGTATGAGATTATTTAGGAAGACACACTTTTGAGCCTCTCTGAGGACATACTTCAGGAGTAAGATGGGAAAGACGTGGGAGAAAGGTGCACTTAAATAAAATCTTCTCTGAATGTGTATTTAGCAAATAAAAATTTTAAAAAGTGAATTATTACTACAGTTTGCTTACTAAATTACAAAGGGTAATCAAGTACCCTCCTACTCAGGTAACGTTTGCTGTGCTATGGTACAGTAAATATCATATGCTATTATGGTACCTCAGTATTACCAATTAAGAAACCTGCATTAAGCGGGTAGTTGTTGTAGTATACCTAAACAAGCAATGCAGGAAGACAGGGTCCTGCAGGGAACAAATGGGGCCACCCAAAACTTTGATCATGTCCTGGAGTCACTAGTTTTTATCTACAGCAAACTGGATGTATGGTGTATCTAGACCAGACTGGAAGAGCAGCTCCAGAGAACCTCCCAGCACAGAGCGAGGTTTTGTTCAGCTTCCATGTACTGATAGAATAATGACAATGACAGAGTTTTAAAAGCACTTCCAGGTGAAAACAACTTGGGAGAAAGGTGCACTAAATAAAATCTTATCTGAATGTGTATTTAGCACATAAAAATTTTAAAAAGTGAATTATTACTACAGTTTGCTTACTAAATTACAAAGGGTAATCAAGTACCCTCCTACTCAGGTAACGTTTGCTGTGCTATGGTACAGTAAATATCATATGCTATTATGGTACCTCAGTACTACCAATTAAGAAACCTGCATTAAGCGGGTAGTTGTTGTAGTATACCTAAACAAGCAATGCAGGAAGACAGGGTCCTGCAGGGAACAAATGGGGCCACCCAAAACTTTGATCATGTCCTGGAGTCACTAGTTTTTATCTACAGCAAACTGGATGTATGGTGTATCTAGACCAGACTGGAAGAGCAGCTCCAGAGAACCTCCCAGCACAGAGCGAGGTTTTGTTCAGCTTCCATGTACTGATAGAATAATGACAATGACAGAGTTTTAAAAGCACTTCCAGGTGAAGCTGTCTAAATTTAACACTCATCAATCCCACTGAATATAATTTATTAGAAAAGAGAATAGAAATAGAAATGACTTCATAGAAATTATTTCACTACTCTTTTGCTGATCTCCTCAAGTCTAGAGAACTCCTAGAGAAATGAACCTCATTTTGACATTTAAAAATTTTGGGGTTTGCTTAAAATAAAATCAAACCCCCAAGACTTTCAACAAAACAGGCCACGATTTCTTGTACTTAAGTGTAAACTTGAAGGTACAGTACTAAAACACCCTGCTATTAGAACAAATTTTGTATGTACACAGATGGTTCAAACAGAAATAAAAAATCATTATAGCAAAATTTTCAGCATTGTATTTACTTAAAAATTAGGTGATCATCTGGTCCAACCTCCCTGCTCAAGCAGGGTCACCTAGAGCTGGTTGCCCAGGACCGTATCCAGATGACTTTGAAGTATCTCCAAGGATGGAGACTCCACAGCCTCTGTGGGCAACCTGTGCCAGTGCTCTGTCTTCACAGCAAAAAAGTGCTTCCTGATGTTCAGAGGGAACCTCCCATGTTTCAGTTTGTGCCCATTGCCTCTGCTGCTCTCACTGGGCACCACTGAGCAGAGCCTGGCTCTGCCTTTTATGCACCCTCCCTTCAGCTATTTATATACATTTATAACATCCCTCCAAACCTTTTCTTCAGGCTTCCCATTGTAGATCTTGTTTATCCAAGATTTAAAACAAAGCGTTCAGATGTGACAAACTGAATGTGATTGCAAGACAAAAACACAATTTTCTTTGTAAGAAAAGGTACCTTACCTATCTGCTTGAATAGTTTCTTTAACAGTTTTAAAAAAATCAAAGTAGTATGTCACAGCAATTGATGCCAAAATCCAGAATGCAAAATGAATATTCAGTCGGGCAAGAGGCTTCCTCTTCTTCTCTACAGCTGTAGACTCTTCTGTAAATAAGAACATAATTATAGCACTAAAGCCAGTCATTACATGGAGTATGATTATAGTTACGTAAAACATGATGCTTTATCCCTTTAATTCATTTATCTGTGGAGATTATTATATTCAGTATAATACACTTTGTATTACAGAGGAGGTATTCCTGAAAGCTCTGCACATTTCCTGAAGTGAAACAAACTAAGCAAGGTACCCTTTGATAAAATGCTAAAGCAGTAACAGTTGGCACATACAGTGTCTGTGTACCCTTTAGGAAATTAACAGCTGACTAGATTCTGTATGGGTTATTTAACTAATCAAAAATCTCCTAGTGTTATTAAAGCATTTTTATTAACTAGCACATAGAAAGCCAGGTCAGTATTTCCAATTACTAATTCATTTGTATCCTTTTTTGTTAATTTTAATAGTTGCAAACCAATTTCAGGCATAAATAATTTTCTTGCAGCTTCTTCAGTGGAGATTTTCAACTTCACTTTTCAGGAGGTCCCGTGATTCGCGCCGCACACCTTCAGCAGGGAAACTAACGCTATGGTTGGGCAGAAAACTATCTTTTCTTTTTTCCCTCAACACCATATATTGTTTTAGAGAGAGCCACACAACAGAGCAAGCAGATTAGAAAGCCTACTTTTGTGCATGACAGCAACCAGGTAACACAGTATTTATACACGCTGCCAAAAAAAAGGTGGCAAAGGTGCCTTCAACGTTTCATACTTTGAACTTTATGAGTGGAATGTATTGCTGGCCTGTGTGCAGCCTGATGTTCGCTGGCTCCTCCACAGGCATCATTACCACCAGCCCAGCGCAATAAACAGCTCTGCTGGAATTTACAGGCATTTTTGCTTTCCATTTCCCAGGTTCTTCCTCATCTACTAGAGCTGGAGTCGGGAGCACTCAAGCAGCTTCACCCCCCACAAGAAATCCGCGGTTGCGAGCCTTTTACACAACTCACACCCCCCTTTTCACGCCCAACCCGCTGACACCCGCGGGGAGAGGTGCTGGCTACAAGCAGGCGGTATCCCACCGGCCCCTTTACCGAGGAGCCCCCTCACTCCTGCCGTCAGCAGGCTCCATCCCCTTCCCCGCTCCGGCGGCGGGGACCGGCGCTGCGCCAGGTGCTGCTTGTCACCGCTCCCGGCCCGCCCGATCCCCTCACACCGCCCGCCTCATAAAAGCCCGGCTCCGCTCCGCTCTCCCCCCCTGCGCCCCCGGTGCCACCCACCGGCCGTCCCACCGCCGCCCCCCGACAACAGCGGCGGGGCGCGGGGCCTTGCCCCCCGCCGCGCAGGGCGCCCTCCGGCAGTGACGCCAGGGCGGGGGCGGGAAGCGCGGCGGCCGTTACGGCCGTTGGCGTGAGGGGCGGCCGCCCCGTGTGAGGGGGCAGAGGGGGGCGGGCGGCCGGAGGGGCCTCCGCGATGGCCTCGGCCACCGTCCCGGGCCGCTGTGGCTGGTCATAGCCTTAATGAACCCGTGTTCGGTCAGAAAGCAAGGAAATCGGAGCGGCTGGGGGCCGGGGCGGGGGCCGGTGGCC